CCCCTAGAGAAAGAGGAGAGCTTTCAGAAGACCAGAGAGAGCATGCTGGGTCTTCTAACTACAGAGATAGAGAAAGAAAGCTACCTTTTCCTGTCCCCCTCCCCCATTATTCTGCCTTCTTTTAAAAATTAACTAAAATTTTATGTGTGCATTTTTTGAGATCAGGTCTCTTGTTGCCCAGGTTGGCCTTGAACTCCCTATCCTTTTGCATCCCTCCTCCCAAGTGCTGGGATTACAAGCATGTGTTACCATGCTTGTTCTTTTGAAAGTGGCGGGTGCTGGGGATGGATGGAACCCGCCACTTCATGCATGCCACACAAGCGCTCTACTGAGCATCTCCCCATCCCTTTTCAGATAGTCCCCCCATGTATTCCAGGCTGGATTCAAACCCACCGTTGTTGTGGAATATTATTTTAAGATGGGTTACATTTGTTTTAGCTGTGGAACATTTGTTTAATGATGCAAAGATGTGTTGCATTCTTTTGTGCTGAATTTGTTTAACTCCGTGAAGCTGTGTTTCTGTGCCTGTCTGAAACACCTGGTGGGCTAATAAAGAGCTGAACGGACAATGGCGAGGTTGGAGAGGGGCAGGTGGGGCTGGCAGAAGAGGAGTAAAAGGAGAAATAAATAGAAGGGGTGGGAAAGAGAGAGAAGGGATGAGGATTGAAAAGAAGCGCCAGTCGCCCAGCTACCCAACAAGCCGTGGAGTAAGAAAGAAAGAAAAGACGTCCAGAAAGAGAGAAGTAAAAGCCCAGAGGCAAAAGGTAGACAGGATAATTTAAGAAAAGCTGACAAGAAACAAGCCAAGACTGGGCGTTTAGTAAGTAAGAATATGATTCTGTGTGTGATTATTTGGGAGTTGGATGGTGAGCCCCTCCAAAGAAAGAGCCAAAAGAGTAAAACACAAAAACAAAAATCAGAAAACACAACTACACACAGCTACACACAGTCTTTTTCAGGGTTCAGGGTTCCAATGGCTGGTACTACAGGTGTGGAACCACTACACCTAAAACTTCCATTCTTCCTTTCCCCTGTTTTTTTTCCTTAAGATTTCCCTACCATCCATTACCACTCCTCTGGTGGTGGTGGTGGTGGTGAGGGAATCCTAAGAGCATCTTTGTCCAAAACATCCTGTCCAATCCAGTATGGTGGCCAGGTGCCTCTTGTTCCAACATTTGAGAGGCTGAAACAGGAATATTATGTTAGGCTATTTGGTAAGTTTACCAGCCCAGTCTGGGGTACATAGTAGGACCTTATCTCACTAAATAAAAATAAATAAATAAAAATAAATAAATCAATAAAATCTTGGTACTGGAGAGATGGCTCAGTGGTTAAGAGCACTGACTGCTCTTCCAGAGGTCCTGAGTTAAATTCCCAGCAACCACATGGTGGCTCCCAACCATCTGTAGTGAGATCTGGTGCCCCCTTCTGGCCTACAGGCATACATGCAGGCAGAACACTATACATAATAATAAATCTTAGGAAAAAAAATCCTGGGCTCAGCAGAAGCTCTTTCAGGGGCTGCAGGCCCATTTCCCAGCACTTATATTACCACTCACAACCAAATGTAACCAGTTCCAGGGGGTCTGACTCCATTTTTTGTCCTTTTAGGGTACCAGGCACACACTTGATCTACATATCTGGCAAGATAACTCATGCACATAAAAGGAAAATAATTTAAATTTAAAAAATTAAAGCCCTTCTCTCAGATCTGGGTGCTATTTCTTCTTCATGGACTCTCCAAACCTTGTGATCAGAGAAATCCACCAGCTCAGCAGTGGCAGGGTAGCCCACACTTTTAATCTCAGCATTCAGGAGGCAGAGACAGGTGCATTTCTGTGAGTTTGAGGCCAGCCTGGTCTACAGAGCAAGTTCCAGGATGGCCAGGGGACACACAGAGAAACCAAGTTTCAATAAACAAACAAAAGTGGCCCACCTCAGAATCACCCTGGACTCGGCTTTAGTTTTTCATGGCACATGAAAATCTGAAATTAGATTTTCCAGATACAAAATGGAGTCAGCCATAACCAAGAAAAAGGAAAGGTGGACATGAGTTCCATTCCTAGAATCCATGTTTAAGACAAAAAACAAATCAGCAACAAAAACAAAAGAATCCAGGAGTGGTTAGTACATGCCCATTAACACCATTGCAGGGGAGGTGGAGACAGGAGCATCCCTGGGCTTGCTATAGCCAGCATAGCTCAACTGGTGAGTTGCAGGTCAGTCACACGCACGCACGCACACACACGCACCTGCTTGCACACACAAAAATATAAACCGAGAACAATAAATAGAAGTGCGTGTGGTAGCAATCACCCCTAAGACCAACCATCAGAAGGCTGAAAGAGAAGGAATACAAGTCACAAGTTCAAGGCCAGTGTGAGCTATGTAGCAAGATGCCTGGGGTTCAGGGGAGGTGAAGAGAAAGTTAGGAGGCCATGAATGGAGGGTCATTGTGTGGCTTCTTATAGTAATATCACAAGAGACCCTGGTAGAACCCACAAGATCGGGATGGTGAGGTGGCTCAGCAGATAAAGGCGCTTGCCACAAAGGCTGAAAACCCGAGTTTGATCTGAGTTTGATCTACACACATGGTGAAAGGAGAAAACCAAATCCTACAAATTGTTCTGTGACCTTTGTAGTGGACACGCGCGCGCGCGCGCGCGCACGCGCGCGCGCACACACACACACACACACACACACACACACACACAGCTAATATTTAAAACATAGGCCAGCCTGTTCCACAGGAGAGTTCCAGACCAGCCAGGAATATATAATGAGACACTGTCTGTTTCACATTCCGTTTTTGTTTGTTTTTTGAGACAGGGCTTCTCTTGTGTAGTCCTGGCTGTCCTAGAATTAGCTCTGTAGACCAGGCTGTGATTTTCTTGCCTCAGCCTCTATGGCTGGGATTGCATGAACGCTACACCTTGCTTTCCCACTAGGCCCCCTCTGAATGGCCCACCTCATTCACACACTTCCACACCCGTGTGTTCAGGTGCAGGTGCCACGTGCGTGTGTGCAATGTGAGCCTGGAACTCAATGTTTTGGGTAGGCTGGCTGGCCAGTGAGCCCATTGGATTCACCTGTTTCCACCCCTCTGCACTGGGCTTGCAGACATTGCACCTGGCTTTTCCAGAGGTGCTGGGAATCAGATGCTTTTTTGTTGTTTGTTTTTCTAGACAGGGTTTCTCTGTGTAGCCCTGGCTGTCCTAGAACTGGTTCTGTAAACCAAGCTCCTTGAACTCACAGAGATACACCTACCTCTGCCTCCCCAGTGCTGGGATTAAAGGTATGTGCCCATCTCCAAACTCAGATTCTAATGCTCACACCTAGGAGCCATCTCCCATGTACTCTCCACCTCTAGAATTCCTGCCACCTCCTGTGTTTCGTCCTCTAGATTATGGCATTCCTGTTTCTTCTAGGGAGCAGCAGTAAGGCCCATGATGGTCTTCATGGAAGGTCATCAAGGACCCTTGTAACACAAATATTCTGAGTAGTTCTGTATTTGATTCCTGCCACTGCCCCCAAGAGATGCAGCCTTCAACAAGAGTGTTCAACTTCTTATAACCATCTAGATCTTCAGTGAAGATAAACAGAAGCTCAGTTGTTTTCTTATTGAGGAACCACGGAACCAGGCAATGTTGGTTGGCAGTTCCTTTCTCCACCTCATAAGAGAATAAAACGTGAAGGTTTTTAAAAAAAATCATCTTTTTGCTAAGCATGGCAGTGCATGCCTTTAATCCCAGGAAGCAGAAGCAGGAGGGTCTCTGTGAGTTTGAGGCCATCCTGGTCTACAGAGTGAGTGAGTTCCAGGACAGCCAGAGATGCATAGTGAGACCCTGTCTCAAGCAAACAAACAGGTGAAGAATCAGTACAGAAAAGGTTTCTACTCTCCTACTTTCCCCTCTACCCTTAGCTCTTTGTTAGCTCAGGCTGGCCTCAAACTCCGTATGCAGCTGAGGATGACCTTGAATTCCCGATTCTGCTTGGCTGCCTCCCAAATACTGGTATTACAGGTTTGTATCACCACACCACGCTGAACTTTTTATTGTTTCTGAAATGTGTAAAAGAAACTATACATTGTCTACCCCTTTGCAGATTGCCAGAGGGTATCACCCACTGTAGTCGCTGCACTATATCAATAGTTTGCTCCCCATTATTGCTCAGCACTATTTTATGATATTTATGTACCTTTAACCCTTTATCTGTTGAAGGACATTATCAGTTTGGGGCTATGAGTAAAGATGAGATGAACAGGTGTGTACAAGTTTTCAATTTTCCAAGGATATAGAATCCAGAAGCCACAATTTTGGGTTTAAGTTAATCAGGTCTCTCTCATAGCCCAAGGTGTCCACTAATCCCTCTGTAGCCAAGGCTGGACCCGAATTCCTTCTGATCACTTTCTGCTTCTAACTCCCAAGCTGCCATTGCTTTTAAGGTCTTTTTCATGTGGTTGGATTAGGATGTGGATTTACTAGTGTGTGTTTGCGGTCAGTAGACAATTTGTGGGAGTCAGTTCTCTCGTTCCACCCAGGATTTGAGCTCAGACTGTCAGGGTTGGTGGCAAACTCCTTTAACTTCGGAGCCATCTTTCGGGGCCCCAAGCATGTGGACTTAAAATTAAGGTACTATTCCGGATGTTTCTATAGTGTTTCCTACTCAAATACAAGAATTCAGGGATTTTGCAACGAGCCCGCTTCCACGTACAGGGGAAACCTTCATAAACACCGTGGCGGCACCGCGCAGGATGTCTAGATACTAGAGCAGTGACTATTTTGTAAAAGAGAACTAACACTCTAACCCCAGACCAAATGCGAAGATGATTCTGACAGGTAAGGACGCCATATCCGCGTCCCCGAAAGCACAAGTAGCCTTGCTGGGATCCATAGGGCATCTACGCACCGGCGCTCTAACGCCCCGCCTTAAGGGCGAAGTCAGTGTCTGAGGGCGGAAGTGCACCCGGAAGCTGGAGGGTGGGGCGCTGGGAACGACGCCCGGGAGCGCCAATGGAGTGGCGCGGCGGGCTTGTTGTCGTACGTCGGTGGGTAAGGGCTAACGGTTTCCGGTAGTAGTAGCCCCCAGAGGGGTGCGAGGAAAGAGGTGACGCCGGGACCCGAAACCTCGGATCCCTGCAGCGTCGGCGAGATGATGGGCTACCGGGCGTCGGAATTGGAATCTATGGAGGGCGAGGAGGCTGTGGGGGTCCCGGGGCCAGCCCCGGAGCCGAGAGCCCCGGAGCCACTAGCCCCAGAGCCCGAGCCGGGCTTGGATTTGAGCCTGAGCCCGAGCCCGTTGCCCGAGAGTCCAGAGCGGCAGAACGGCAGCCCGGGACGGCGGAGGGGGCGGCGGGGCGGCCGGAGGGGGCGCCAGGTGAGCGGCGGCGAGGCCGGGTCCCCTGCTCGCCGAGCGTCCCGGACTCCGCCGCTCACCGTTCCGCCCTTTCCTCCCAGGTTCGTTTTCACCTGGCGCCGTCCTCCCCTTGTCCGCTCCGAGCCGCTACTCGAGGCCGGCGTACCGAGCGAAGATCCCGCGGCGCCCCATGAGCTGGAGGCACCCGCCCTGCAGAGCAGCCTGGCTTTGAGTCTGGAGCTGCAGAATGCGCGCGCCGCCGTGGCCAGCGGCCAGTTCGACGCCTCGAAGGCGGTGGAGGAGCAGCTGAGGAAGTCGTTCCAGACCCGCTGCGCCCTGGAGGAGACCGTGGCGGAGGGTGAGGGGGGCAGGCGCCCGCCCCGGCGCGGTGGTCTGGGAGAAGGGCGCTGCTCACCCCCGCCTCTCCTGCGCTCGCAGGGTTGAACGTGCCGCGCTCTAAGCGACTCTACCGAGACCTGGTGAGTCTGCAGGTGCCGGAGGAGCAAGTTCTGAACGCGGCGCTGAGGGAGAAGCTGGCGATGCTGCCGCCGCAGCCCCGAGCCCCGCCCCCGAAGGTGAAGGAAGGGATCCGGGGGACTGGGCTCCCCTCCTCTATTCGGAGTGTAATCTTGCATTGGGCCTCACCTTCCCACAGGAGGTGCTCGGGCAGGGGCCAGACATGACGGTGCTGTGCAACCCAGACTCTCTGTGCTACGAATCTCCGCACTTAACAGTGGACGGGCTGCCCCCGCTAAGGCTTCAAGCCCGGCCCCGCCCTTCAGAAGATACCTTTCTCATGCATCGGATGCTGAGGCGCTGGGAAGCATAGCCTTCACAACTCCCTGTATTGCTAGGCAGTACGTTGTTAAAACTGTTTCCTCATCGAATAAAGTTTTTGTGTTTAAACAATTGAGCTCCTGGTTGGAAGCTGCCTGTAGGTAGAAATTTTCTGGCCCCCTCAATGATGACAAGTGGAAAGCACTGTGTGGCAAGACTTTCCACTTCAATAACCTTGTTTTGATTATAATTGGAATTTGAGACAGCCTCACATCATGGCACCATGTCCCAGGACTTGGGAGGCCGAGGCAGAAGGGTCCTGTGTTCAAGGAGTCTGACTTACACAAAGGATTTCTATTAGTGTGGTTTCAGCCTGGGTAGGTTCAGCTCAGTGGTGGTGTTTGGTTAAGCATGTGCAAGCGCATGCACAAATAGTCAAAGTGCTTTAGATTTCCACTTTGGCTGCTGCTTGTAGAGACAGGAAGGACAGGAGTTTCAGGCAAAACTAAGGGGATACCGTCTCAAAAACCTAACCAAAAAAGCACCCTGATCTGCCCCATTTATAATAAATTTTAATGTAGCTGTCTGTATAGCTTCTGGTTGTCTTGGAATACATGTATTCCAGTCTGGCCTTGAACTCATATTGCCTACCTCTGCTTCCAAAGTGCCAGGATTAAAGGCATGCATCACTAAACTTGGCTATTCAAATCCTTCTGAACAAAAAGTATTTACCCAAACATGGGATTTAACATTAAATAATTGCTTTAAAGGAGACTTTGCCTGTTTCATTTGAGTATTGCCCATTAGTCTGGGACTAACATAGGAGTGCACAATTTTTATTCAATGTTATAGCAACCATTGACAAACCAACGAAGACATTCATTTTGCAAAGCACCCCCAACACCCACGGATCCTGGAGCAGTTTTGTGGCTCTGGGCTGTTCATTTCTAGCTCTACTTCACCCCCACTGCTGAGCCCTCCGAAGGTAGCCTTCCATCTCACTCCCATGTACAGACAGTTACCTGGGGTTTCTTTTGGAGGAAGTTAACTTGGAATCATTAAGCTACACACCAAAGTTTGCATTACTCCTTCCCCTTTCTGGAGCAGTGTATAAGGGTACTGGCTAGTTTAATGTCAATTTGACACAAGCTAGAGTTATCAGGAGGGAGCCTCAAATGAGAAAATGCCTTTATAAGACCGGGCTATAGACAAAGACAAGTCTGTAGGGCATTTTTTTTTTTTTTTTTTTGGGGTGGTGGTTTCTCTGTGGGACTGTCCTGAAACTTGCTTTGTAGACCAGGCTGGCCTTGAATTCACTGAGATCCACCTGTCTCTGTCTCCCAAGTGCTGGGATCAAAGGCATTCATCACCACTACCTGGTCTGTAAGACATTTTCTTAGTGAGTGATGGGGACAGTCCCTGGGCCAGTAGTCCTAAGAGGAGGCTAAGCAAACTCTGAGGAACAAGTCAAAAAGTAGCACCTTCTATGGCTTCCACATCAGCTCCTGCTTCCAGGTCCTTGCTCTTCCCTACTTAAGTTCTTGTTCTGACTTCCTTTGATGAACTGAAATGTGGATGCATAACCTTAATAAACTCTTTCTTCCCTAAGTCATGGTGTCTTATCACAGCAGTAGTAACCAAACTAAGACAAGACTCCAACAGTCTTCCAGCCCCGTGAGATTTAGTGTCTCACTATGCAGTCCACCCAGGCTTGCCTCAAACCTCAAGAGATCAATTGGCCTACCTGTCTCCCAAGTGCTGGGATAAAGAGCCAGTACACCACAACCAGCAAAACCCACCCTGAGATGCTAGGATGGGCAAAGAGCCACACAATCCTACTAAGATGTACCATCCCACTAGAAAGTGCCAGACACAGGTGCAGGGGCCATGGCCCTAGTTATCAAGTTTATTGTGCTGTTCTCACATTCCAAACCCAGCTCCCTTTCCCACTGGGGGACAGCAGAAGGAAGGATTTTCACAGTACCTGTGTCTCCTTACCAAACTTCCCCTCCTAACACCCTTAGTCCATCCATGGTCCACTTAAGTGCAGCTAGGAACAAAGGCCGAGAAGCAGGAATGTCCTTCCGAGAACAGGAGGAAGGGGCCTAGAGAATTTGACATTCCCCTTCCCATGCCCTAGGAGGACAGTCAGCAAACAGTCCATGCCATCCAGCCCAGCAGGCTGGGAGAAGAAGCTGATGTAATTCCAGCACAGCTGGGCTTACTCAAGTGCCAGAGGTGTCAAGGAGAAGGCTTGGGGAAGCAACTTAAGAAAAGCTCTCTTTACAGATCCAAGAAAGGAAACTTTTGGAGTTAGACAGGAAAGACCTTGGGATACTTTCCTCTTCCCCCTAGGTCCTCAGGAGCAGCAAGGGCAGCCTCTTCACACCTTCTGTCCAGAAGGCCACTTAGTGGCTGGGGGAACGGGCCTTGTGGAACAAGTACACAGGACGCTGAAAGCCTGAAAGAACACAGAAAGCAGGTGGGTGGGACTGAGATTCTCCACAGGGCCAGCACCCACTCCTCCCAGTGACAGAGTGGAGCCATACTTACCTCTGGAGGTGTTACTTGGTGTGGCCACAAGCTCATAGCTGGAGAAGCCCCACCTCTGGGGATGTTAGGTAGGAACTGAACTGCTCTGGCTTCAGCTGGATTCGAAAGTAGTTCTTATAGATTGTTTCCTGGGGAAATAGGGGTAGGGGGTGTGTGTGTCACTTCAGCTTGCCATCGCCATCTCTTTCCTGGCCAAGAACAACAACCTTTTTGTCGTTGCTCAGAAAGTCTGAGCTGGGTATGGTGGTATAAGCCAGTCATCTCAGGTATTTAGAAGGCTGAAGCAGAAGGATGGATGGAGAGTTCAAGACCCAGTCTGCAACCCTACAGAGCCAGTTCAGGCCAGCAGCTTAGCCAGTCTCAAAATACAAAATGGGTAACCAGGTGGTTGGTGGCACATGCCTTTGATCCCAGAACTTGGGAGGCAGAGGCAGGCAGATCTCTGAGTTTAGAGGCCAGCCTGGTGTACAGAGATAATTCCAGAAGGCCAAGGCTACACAGAGAAACCCTGTCTAGAAATAATTGCCCCCCCCAAATTTAAAGAACCAGCTGGGGCTACAGCTCACTCTGCCATGTGTGAGGTCTGGGGTTTAATCCCCAGTAAAATAAAAACATGATTATCCCCTATCTCTACAGAAACCCAACTCACCGTTAGAGACTTTCTCCTGCAGTAGGAGGACCATGGTTGGGGCTCCAGAACCAGAATGCCCCCAGGGCGAAGATGCCGGCAGATCCGGCGGAACATGCGCTTCAGCCCCTCGTCACCCCCAGTTCAGGTGCACCCACTTGGTGAGGCTGAGACAGAGCACCACATCGTACTCGGGTCTTTGGGCATCCACCAGCTCATCTCTGTCGAGGACATAGTTACCCTGAGGGCCAGAAGATGGGAAAGAGGTCACAGAGAGGAAGAGGAGCACCACTGGCCCTACAACCACCTGCAGACTGAGACGAAGTCCTACACACAACCTCACTTCAGCCCCCAGTGGCCTTCTCCGAGCTCCTGACAAATGCCTCATGGTCTCTTCTCCCTTTCCTGCCTCTGCTTCCTCCTGGTGCTAAACCAAGCAAACCTAAAAGGGAGGCCTGGACAAATTTAAATTGAATTACCAGAGGAATAACTGGAGAATACTGGAATGCACCCAAGACCCCAGCCCAGAGGACTTCACATACACAGGCGGCGGGTCCTAAGGACTTAGGCCCACTCCATACAGGCTCTCCCATCAGAGTCTAACATTTCAGGCCTATTTTTCTCAAAGCGAAACAAAAGCCTAAGAAACCTTCTTTGGAAGGTAAACTTGCCACCACTCCCAGGAAAGACATGTTTTCAGGCTAAGCCACGGGCACACATGCCTCTGGGATGGCCCAACTGCTCAATGGAGGAAGCTAGTGGAGACAGGGACATATCCTTTGTCAGGCTGGCTACTCTCTCCCTCCCTTCACAGCCCCCCTCTCCTGCTATTCAGTCATGTCGGAAAAGACAGAGAGCCAAGCCTACTGTGTTCCTGACCAGTAACTTCAACAGTCTGTACTTATCTAGGGAAACAAAAAGCAGCTGATGCAACAATGTCCCTATCAAAGGCCCCAAAACTACACATATAAGAGTGCTACAGTCTCCCTCTCCAGCAACCTCAAGCTCTCCCCAGGAGATTTGAGGACAAGGTTCCATCTGGACAGAGCAGTAGAGGTTACCCTCAAGGGAAGGTAGATGGCTTGGATTATAGTCCCCAATGGAAGCAGGACAAGCTCAGCCCCCTTTCGGGCATGAGATCCTTGTAGTCATGAGAGAAGACCAGATGTTAGAGCCTGCAGGTAGAGATCCCACTTTGCATGTTATTTATAGGGAGGAAAGACATCACACCCAGTAGAGATTCTCTGGCCAATGCAGACTGTTCCCTCCAGAAGGTTCTTGTAGGGAGGAACAAATGCAGGGGCACACCTCTAGGTCATGACCTTCCCCCCACATTCCTACTTAATCTCATCTTCACACTTGGACCCTACTCCAGGAGCCTTTGGACTCTCTTACCGTGACGAAGACGACATTGTTGGGGAAGACAGATGTGTCCGCTCCATCCAAGGGCACTTTGGGGTGGCAGCGATGGGACCCCTGCTGGCTGTCAGTGAGGCTGGGAAGCAGCTCCTTTTTTCGGACAGCGGTAGTCCCTTCCTCCCCTCTGTCCCTGGGTCACCCTCAGAAGTCTGGGCTTGGAGACGAAGCTCCTCAGACAGGTAGTGTCGGATATTTTGGCGGGCAGAGTGGATAAGTCGTGGATCAATGTCCAGCCCCACCATTCGGGCTGGGCCCCACTTGCAGGCAATACTTAGGGTCAGATGGCCAACATTGCAGCCCAGGTCTAGGACGTCCCGGCCTTGAAACCACTCGGGCTTCAATACCCTAAGTCGCACATCCTCGCAGGATGGATTGCGATAGCCATAGTACTTGCAGTAATTCCCATACTGGAACTTTCGCTGTTGCTTTTTGAAGCCAGTTGCAGGTAGTGGGTGGTGATGACGGCCTCCCCCCACTCCCTCTGCCCTTTTCCTTGGAACCCTGGCTTCCACCCCCTAGCCCCTGCCTCCGACTTG